GAGTGTGCACAGCCCATAGAACTCCAGACCCCACAGAACTCCAGATCAGTACACATACCCCCTAGAACTCCAGATAGCCATATATACCTAGGTAATCAGTCACCATTTGAAATGCAAACATTTTGAAAGGACACCTTTAGACATTGGTTCATTCTTTCTTAAAAAATTAAATGATTAGGGGAAAAACCCAGCCTTGAAAGAATGTAATTCTCTTGCCTTTCTCTTCCCAAATCCACCTACAGGGACAAATATAGAAACAGAGCAGCTCCTGCAGGCTAGATTTCCACGTTCTCCTTTTCTGTCTGGTACCCTCTGCCTTGGACACGTACAAGTTAATTCGCACATGAGAAAATAAAGAGCTTGAGAGAGAAACGGGGACCAAAATGTGTGCGACTGAGGCAAGGATCCTGAACTGAAGGACTAATTCTGCCCCTAGAGAGGTTAAGTAGAACTGACTATCTGACCAGTATGGATAATGAATCCAGGAAATGGAGGCTCCCAACTGAGAATTTTAACTTGAATTACCAGGTTTGGTTGTCTACACTGTCCATGCTGAGCCCAAACTGAGGGTTTGAGGTAAGTTAAAATCACTAAAAGTATTAAATTAAGAACCTGGGAAAACGAGTGGAAGCATTCTGGGCTGATCTTTTCTATTGCACATAACTTTGATTTTTTGGTGTGCTCATACTGAGAGTGTGTTTGAGGATGGAGATTATTTTAGGGGCAACTTTTTTTTTTCTATTGGAAATTAAATGTTGATTTTAGATTTAAGAGAGATGACACTGATATTGCCAAAAGATAGGGAAACAGACAAGAGAAAAAATTAGAATGAGCACAAAATATGCATGCTGTAATAGAAGGCAAAGCAGTTTTTCTCCTCTCTGAAAAATCCAAAATGTCCTGCTGTTAAGCGAGGTTATGGATGGTTATACCTGAAGTTTTCATAGTCATCACATCCAAATGAAAGTGAGTATGCAAATTAACTCAGTTGATTAAGAGAAAAAGCGAACTGAGAGATTACTGCTTATCTTCATCAGTGAAGGCTCCAGAGCTTTGAAGATATGTGATTTTCTGTTTTGCACATTTCCTAAAAGACTGAGGCAGAAATAGCAAAAGGTTATCAATAGCATTTTTAAATAAGAACATGAATCAAGACTGCAGACCATGGGTGGGCGAACAGGGTCTCTCCGGGGTATGGAGAAGGACGTGTAATTTAGAACACAAGCTGACGCACAGAGCTCAGCCTGCTGGCCTGCCCTCCCCTTCATAGGACACACTGCCTGGAACCCAGATGTGGGGCATGAGGGCCCCAGCCCTCGGCTCCACTGGCTACAACTTTGCAATAAATTTTGGAGATTCAATGGACTCCCATACCTGTAGAAAACACGCACGGGTTGGTAAGAATGATCTCCTAACAGAGCAGATAATTCTAGTGAGTAAAAGTGAGCCATATTCTGGTCATCGTTATTTAAAACTCACCTTAATTACTAATCTCATGTTGGGCAAGCAGGAAGAAAACCCCTGATGCCCGCACACGCCATCAAAACAGCGCTCTTCTGTGCTGGCCTGGTCGCTCATTCAGTCATTCTGCACAGGCAGGTGAGTGCCTCTCCGAGCAGGCACTATTGCAGGGCGCATCACAACGCAAATAACAGTCAAAAATCTCTGGCCTCCAGAAGCTTACAAGTACACTCTGTTAGGGGAGGCAGAAGGAATCAGGTGAAATAAATGTGAAGTTTACTTCCTGATGGGGATGAGCAGGCAAACACATGGAGGGTGCCTGGGTAGTGTGGTGGACTTACTCTCTGCTGGGGACGGCTACCTGCTCTTTAATCACACCTGAAAAGGAGCATCAGATCTAATACACCAGAATGACGTGCTCACTTCTGGAAGGTGCCCCTGATATTTATCTGATAAAGCCACAGAAGCTAAGCTTTTGGTTATCACCTATGAGCAGTTTATCTCAGAGTTCCTCCTTCCAGGAAATGATATTGCTCAAACCCTAAGACAGCGTACAAGTATCTGATGAACCTTTTTTTATGCCCATGGTGAGTACTTGGTAATACCCACTAACCTATTTGGGATAAGATGATCACAGCTTTGTCTATGGCATGAAATCTACAGCTTCAAATCTGTCCCAGAACTGAAATTGTGCTCTGGGAGAACTCTGCCCCTGCCCTTGTGGGGTTGAAGACAGCAGGCTTTGCTTTCCTGAGAGGACGTGCTGGTGTCCAGCTGTTAGTGGTGAGTGCACGGGGCTCTGCCTCCTGGGAGCATGGGCTAGTTATTTTCTTTCTTTTTTTTTTCCTTTTTGTCTTTTTTCATGACCGGCAACGGATCGCAAC